AGAGAATTTAAAACCCAAGTAGCATATTTTAAAACTTTGTATATAAAAACTCGACCGGCTATTATCATCCAGCGAGCATATCGTTTATGGAAAAAATAAATAAATTCAGCGCGCAGTGAGGAAATGGCTTTATCGACCAGGTGGCACATTAATGAAACGTGCCCAAGATCGGTATTATCAAAATGCTAATAAACCTGCCTTCTCGCAATTCTTGCTCGAAGCCAGAAATAAATGATTACTTTTTGCAAAATATTTCTGAAAAAATTATAAAAACTATTTTTGCAAAATATTTTTGAAAAAATTATTTTTACCTATTTGAGTGGCTTCGAGTGATTTATCACAAGAAGGCACAGAGGTAACTGGGAAAACTTTTGCTAACCCCATATTAAAATTTTACTTGAGCAGTCCGATCCAACTAGTCCAGGATACTGATCAGTAATTCGAAAAATTTTTTGTTTAGCCACATATACCACTAGTGTTTTATTTTTTTCTGATTGAAAATCTTCGAATCATATAAAATGCATACAGTTAATTCCACAATCAATGAGTAATTAATCTATCAACTTTTTTCCCGAAGGTTCTAGCATATTACACCTATTACAAATCTTTAAATTAGTATTACGCAAGTCAATTTGATGCCTCTGACGTTAGAACGAGACAAGAATGGAAATTATGCCAGCGATTTACAGATTTGATTTTACGAGCACTATAGTATCATCCATTCTATATAATAAAATTCCATTATGGGTCATTGTTAGATTTTATAGGTATGAATTGAGGTTAAAAATGATATATAGTTATGTAAAAAACGAGTGCAATCCCTATACTAATTAATTCGTAAATGAACAGATCGCCAAGCCCGAAATTGTTTTTTTAAAATCTGCAAATTAGGTTTGTTAGTCGTGAAGAATAAACTATAAAAATAAGCAAACTATAAGGGATTTCGTTATATAAAACTTATCTGGTTATAATTGAAATATGTCCACCACTTCTACTTCTGCACCATCTACTTCCATTAATAACATCAAAAATCTTGCATATAGTATTTTAAAAACTTTAAAGGATAACATTGTTAAGAGTAAAAAAATTTCAAATCTAAGTAATTGTTCAGAATGTGGGAAAGAAATTATTTCGTATCCTCTTAAGGCATTTACAATACTATCTTGTGGACATGTGTTTCATAGACTTTGTATTAAAAAAAAACTTTTACTTACAATTCCAAATATGTGTTCATTTTCTGGTTGTAGTGAGGAGGTTGAAATTATTGAAACGGGGCATAGAAGGAGTTCTGAATCAAGTACATCATCAGTAGTTAGAAGGATGGAAAAATATAGTATCCAATCTCAAGATTTGCCAGAAATTATAGAAGAAGATATGTCAGATATAGATGATAATGGAGACGGTGAAGATAATTGTCCAATAGACCAAAGCACTATCTCTTCAGAAAAAGAATCCCACAAAAGACCTAGTGAAGATACCCCTGAAAATAAATTATCTAATAAGAAAGTAAAGACTAAAGACAGAAATGTATCTATATTATTGAGGAGCTGAAATCGCCAAGTTCTTCAACAAGTAGTACTACTTCTCAGGCTGAATCTATCACAAGCCCAAGTAATTTTTCTGATTTATACAGTGCAATTGTTAAGGCTGAAGAACGAATTGAAAGTGTGAATCAAGAAATTATTATATGCTATTTTGCTTTTGGAAAAAAGCTTAAGGAAAGGTTAGCCAAGTATATGAAAGATAATAAAGAGCGTAGATCTCAGAGAAAACTTTATAAAGAAGTTGAAAAACAGCTCCCATCTAACCTCTCGAAAAATGCAATTGAGAAAAGAATAGAAAGAGCAAGGAAAATTTATGACCTTTTTAGTAGTATAGGTGAGGATAAAATTCAACGGGTGAAATCTTACTCAGCATTGAGAATTTCTAAATTAAGTTGGGATGAAATTGATGCTATAGAAGAGGAGTTTGAATAAGATCGTCTTTACTGCACCACAATTACATGACTTTGGTTGATGATCGGTCAATGAAACCAGAACCGTTAAGCCACCAAAATTAATAAAAAATTTGTTTTAATAGTAGGCATTGATTATTTCAGAAATTACATATTTTTTGTGTATACTTGTTAAAAGATCAAATTTCATATTTTCTTATGAGATTTAAACATAATTTATTTGAGTGATTGTTACAAAATCACTTGCGAAATATATGAATATCATAGACATATAATTTGTGCAATTTGTAAGATGGGGCACAAGTATATGGTGTTATATATTGGTTTGTATAGCAGAACCAATGTCAAAAGACACATGATAAAAAAAATTAGCTACGTATTTTTTTCTGTCAATATATAACAATGAAAAAATATAGTATACTTACAAATAAAACCAAACAAAATTATATCGAAAAGTGGCATATCTTTAAAGGGTGGAAGCGCGAGTGTAAGGTTTGTGACGAATACAATTATCATTCACACCTATATTGCAAAACGTGTAAAAAAGTAGTGGATGGAATATATAAGGAATGTGAATGTGAAAATTTTCCGAGAATCTATTATGCCCTTGAATAATGCGTCACACCTATATATTAAACATTGACCCAAAGTATTTTTCTAAATCTAGTGCTGTTGTAACGAATTTGCTATGTATTTTTTTATAAGCTATTATGGGCATCTAAAGATGGAAAATTTTGATTTACATATAATTGAGAATTTTTTGTACAGCTATAATCCGTAAAATTTTCACATGCAGGAGGTTTGGTTTATCTGTATCGTAGTACGGGGCGCAAGCAAAGGTGCCATTTATGGACGATACTTAGATACATATTGCAGATAAAATGGAAGGTCATGGAAATACTAAACTAAATCCGGTCGAAAGCTTACATATTTTTCTTGTTTCCCTGCATTGCAATAATCTGCTAATATGGGCGGAGCGCATTCATCGCACGTATCATGAGTTTATTAACCTAATTTTGTATACTGCTGTACTGCAATAACATTCTGACATTATAGTGAATTTGTATGCTTGTGTGATGTTTTAAATAATTTTTGTGCTTAATTTCTGTTTAAGGCTAAATCAAGTGTGACTGGAAATAGATATATAGGAGACATTCTAAAATGGTTTTCAGGCTTATCTCACGATGAATAATGCAAGTAATCCTTACACGTTTTTTGACAAAAAATGTTTCTAGCGAAAAGGAGTGATATCAAATTAATATTAAAGTTGGATTTTTTCTTACTAACATCATTTTATTCTTCAAAAAATGCCCGAATACGAGGTTGTCGCTGTTGTGGTGGAAGTTGTGGAAGTTGAGTTGTCGCGAGTTGTGAAGGGAAGAAATTTCGAGCTGGAAATAGTTAAGTTATTGAAAAGACTTGGCTTTGAAGTAATTCATGTAGGGTGAGTTCTTTTTCTCATTAAGTGTTTGTCTAATCGTTGTGTATCCGAAAATACGTTCCACATTGATCCAAACAAATTGAAAGCGCACCGTGGCCGACTGTTTTGACAGTTGAACATTCTTCTTTGGCTTTCAATGTTCCTGCAATCGGCTTAGCCCTGGGGAATTAATAGCAAACTAGGATGCATACTTAGTTGAACAAATACTCATATTATTGTTAATATAGTGGTAAGAACGACAGAGGAATCGATATACGCGCGCGTATTCATGGAATCGATTTTGTATTCCAATATAAAGATTGGGAAAGACCTACAGGTAATATAATATTATAAAATATTTTAAAATACTAAAAGATAATGTTTATTAGTTCTCTCAGTCGTTCGAGAGCTAGATGGGGCTCTCACCCAACCCGAGAATAGCGGGGCTATCGGGGTTGTGGTGATCCCTAACAACTCAAGATTCTCACTTAAGACGATCGAAAGGGCGATTATGTCTATATTTTCTATTATACTAACAGATAAGGCTCATCTTCCTACATACATTCTTAATACAATTCTTGATCGATTACAAGGAGATCCATTTATATTTCGCTTTTTATATTAAAATTCTAATAATAAATAAATTTGCATAATTATTAATTCAATAACGTATCTGATTTATCGATAATACTAGCTTTGTGAATAACAAAGTTTCTTAATCAATTATGGCACTTTTATCATAGAAAAATTAATTCTGAGCGAACCTTAATTTTGTCTAAATGCGCGAATTTCTAGAATATGTTTTTATCTTGTAATTTTATTCTGTGATTTATTTTATTTTTGTTGCATCAATAAAGCTGGCCCTGATGGCTCGATTTTGCATATATAGACAGTTTACTTTTCAAGTATTTTATAGATTTATTTCAATGTATTAATATCGATGTATACTGTATTAATCTGTATATATAATCAAGAATTTTAAAAATTGGCACAGGCACATATTATGTATGTTTTTATTTGAATATATTCGCATTTTATGTAAAACAATGGCAGATTCACAAACTACAATTGCTTCGTTAAGAAAATTAAATTCTAAACTTACGCTCGAGATTGCTGAACTTAGAAAGAAGTATGCTAAGGTTGAGGCAGAGAATATAAAATTTAAGCAGATTATAGAAGAGAATATCGAATTTAAGACTAGATTCGAAGAACAAGATAGAAAAAATAAAACAGATATCGCAAACCTTATAAACGAGAATACCGATCTCAAATCTAGGGTTTCGAAATTGGAACAAAAGTTATCACAAAATGACGAAGAAAAAGATGACCTTATTGCTAAATTAGATGATGATGATACCCCTAAACAGATAGAAAATATATCTGACAATATTTCTAATTCTGATATATACCAAGAGTCGAATATTCAATACTCTGAAGCACTTATTCGTACAGATTCTGAATCTTCTGAAAATAAAGAGGTTGAATTTCTGAATCGGGTACATAAAGAAACTGTTAGCAATGAAATAAGAGAGAAAAATCGGAAAAAGAAACCTCAGGCCCAAAACTTTATATCATATAATAAAGATAATTCATCATGTGATATAAAAACCGTTTCCCAGGTAAACGATCATGATAATGAAAGTAGTGTAGATGCTTCCCAAATAAGCAATCAGCAAAAAACTATTCCGAATACTCCTTTATCGGCAGAAGATCTTGACGATTCTGATGAAACTGAGCTTACTAAAAATCAAAATATAGAACTAGATTTAATCTGAGATTTACGGAATTGTATGCTTATTGCTTCACCTGATCCTATATTAATATCTTCCAAAGACATCATGGGTAACGAAAAGCCATCCTCTAAAATTACAACACAAAGCTTAATCTATTTATTTAAAAAAGCAATATGATCTGGGTATCAAGAAATTTTATCCTGGATTTGCTATTCAGATAATTTTGAGAATAAAGTTATTGAGATTCGACATAAGGCAAGAGTTAATGATAAAACTGCAAGAACCCAGATCTACAAAGAAATGTTAGAACATTTACCAGGAGTTACGTCAGTTGCCTTGCGAATTAAAACTCTAAGGGCCAGAAAAATTCGTAAGCTATTTGAAGAGAATGGAGTTGGAATTAACAAGGTTAAGTATGTTACCTGCAGTGCAAATGATATTTCAAAATTAACCAATGCACAAATTCAAAATATTATAAATCAAGTAACCTCAAAAACTGTTTTCTTGGGAAACGATCAAAATCATGTGACTGAAATGGAGGTAAGTATTACATCTAATTCAGAAGATATGATAAATGAGAATGTCAAGTTTTTACCAGAGACTGAGATAAGCACATCATCTAATCCAACTTATAATCACGCTTATTTTCATAAATTATTTATATTTCTATAATTAGAAAATGAGTTAATCTCTCTTTGGATTTACTTTTATAGGTTCTATTCAAAACCTAAAGACTTTTTTGTAATCTAATCTTGGCCACTTTTTTTACTACTTCTTCACTTATTATGTTATTTCCCCAGTAGGCCTGGGTGTACCAATACCATGTTTCATATAGAATATTAATATGTAACCATATTGTGGCCTTTCTTCTACCATTGTTTGATATGTTCTGTGCTGTAAATATTTCCTCCAGATATTGTGGAGTGGCAACTGAAGATGAATTCTTCAAGTGCGAGTAGCCTATTTCCCAAATTGTACAACTAATATTACATTTTAGAGCAAAGTGTTTAACCATTTGTCTATTTTCCGGACAACTCAGACAACTTCTATCTATATCTTTATCTATATGCCTAAGACGATACTCTAGTGAAAAGACTTTGTTTTGCAGTTTCCAAAAGATAACCTTCTTCTTATTCATTAACCCTTTACTTCCTAACCAACCAAATGGGTCTGCAGAATTTTCTTGTAGATGTATTGGAGACTGTGATGCTGTGGGCTGTATTGATAGTTGTTTTAAAAATTCTGTTGCTTTTTTGATGGTGAATTGATCCCCAGATTGATCACATATTTTTAATTGTATAGGTTCCCAAGGCCAGCTGCTAAATGATAACACTGTGCTTCTTAGACTTTTTCAGGCTGTTAAGTATGGTTGCCAGTCTTCTGGCCACCCTTTAAGCTTAACCAGAGATCTTGTTAATACTTCTACTATTGATATATTTCTTTTGTCCTGTATTCTTTGTGATATTAAGATTCATTCAACTCTGGCCCAGAAGCTATTTGCTATAAGTAGCTTTATCCAAATGGAGCAGAGTCTGGCATCAAGAGTATCCTTAAGAACAGGAGCATTTAGTTCTCCTCTATTATAGTCTAGCTAGAAAGTTAAATAATGCAGAAGTAATTTTGATTTATTCTTAACCCAGTTGTATATCAATGTGTTGATTTTGTCAAGTTGCTTTCTTTTGGGTGGAAGCAGGTATGCCAAATACCAAATTTTAGAGATGAGAAGGGCTTTAGATAATAAAATTTTTCCTATGAAGGATAGGTTTCTACCAGAGATCTTCTGTATTTTCTGCTTAATGCTTTCGGTTAAGTTTTCTCATATTTGTTTTTTGGGGATACCTTTACAATCTATTTCATAACCCAAGATTTTGAGTGGGTATTGTTATCTGCTATTTTAAAAAGATCTTGGTTGTTTTAGCTGTGTCAGTAAGAGGTACCAAAATTGATTTCTTTTGATTAATCTTTGCATTTGAGGCTAGTTTATATTTTTGCAGAATTGTTGTAAGTTTCTCCCAATCTGAAGAAGATCCTATTCCTACTGTCAAGTTATCAGCATATGCTGTGACTTTGAAGTAGTGGTCTGCCGCCTTTATTCTATTTAACTCTTCTTGAATTTTAAGGATAAGTGGATTTAGAGCTAGAATATATAACAGAGGTGAGAGTGGGTCCCCCTGTCTAACTCCCCTTTCTACTCAGATTGGTTCTGATATGAAATTGGAATTTGTGATATGTGCGGTTTGAAGGTGAAATAAGCTCTAAAAACTTGGTGTCAAAATTCATCTTTTCTAGTACTAGAAGAATAAAATCATAACTTATTCAATTAAAGGCCTTTTGCTAATTAAGCAGCAGCAACCAGTGTGATGCTGACTGGTCTTTTTGGTTTTTCATAATAGTAATAATGTTTAATGCTGCGTCTGTAATTAATTTTCCCTTTATATATGCCTGTTGTAATGAACCGATAATCGATTTGCAAATGATATTAATTCTATTGGCCAGGATCTTCATAAATATTTTAACATCACAGTTAGTAAGTGAAATTGGGTACCAGTTGTCTATGTTTTCTAGATTATCTAATTTTTTCGGAATCAGAGTGATGATGCTTTTGGTCTATGATCTGGGTGTCAAACTATTTTCTAGCTGATAATTGAATAGACCTGTAAGTATTGGGACTGTTTCCTCTTTGATTCTCTTATAGAACTCATACATAAGGCCATCTGAACCTAGAGACTTGTTATTTGAAAGCTGGTTTAAAACCTCATTAACTTCCTCTTCAGAAATTAATTCTATTAGCATTCTGTTTTGACTCTCTGAGACTTGTGCTAAGCCTTGAGTGAAGAGATTTGCTGCAGCTGTGCAGTTGTTTTCCGCCTTGTAGATATCTTGATAGATATTCTTCATATATTGTAACTTGTCAGCTAGATTGTTTATTTGACTGTGTTCAGAGATCTGAATTTTGTCACTTGCTAAAGTATTACTCCTGGCCTTGTAATGTGAGTAGAAGAATTTTGTGGATTTTTTCCTTCTTCGTCAGAAAGGGTTTGAAGTTCCTCTTGTAGCTGCATGTTAATATGTTAGAAAATGTTCTGAGTTTTCTATGCTAGATGTCTCATTGTTAATATCTTTTTTGCAGCTTCTGAATCCTTTTTTTTGGTGAAGGTTGTGATCTAAAGGCTTTGATTATGGACTGTATCCTACATTTATGTAGATCTCACCTTGAGAAGTTTGTAATACTTTGTACCTCTTTAATTACTTCTGCTCTAAGTAGTTGATCTTGCCAGCTGTTTTTATCAAATCTCTATTGTTTTGCTTTAGGTTTTTCTGTATTCAACTGCAGTTCACATTCTACTAGCAAGTGATCGGAGTTACCAAATTGGGTTGTGGTCTTCTTGCAGAGGTGCCTGTGATTTGTATCAATAAAAATATAATCCAATCTTGTAGCCATTACATGGCCTCCTCATGTATTCTGATAATAAGTTAAATTTGAAAGCAATTCTCTTGTAGGATCACTTGTTGGTGAAGACTGATCTATTTTATTTTCCTGTGAGTTAAGGTTTGTATTGAAGTCTCCTACCAAAATAGTTATGCATCCTTCATCTATCTCCGGAGACCAACTATTAAAGAAGTTAACTCTTTCTGCTACACTTGGAGATGCATATACATTTATAAGATGGAACTTTTGGTATCTGTAGATAATACTTGCTTTGGTTATATAGCCATTATGTGATTCATTTGTATTGGATAAAGTAATGTTTGGATTCTCAGCTAAGATTGTGGTTTTAGAGAACCAGTATGAACTGTATCCCCATTGTTGCTGTAAAAAGTTTCTTGTACTAACATTTTTTAAATTAATTTCTTGAAGCATAATTAAATTTAAGTGATATGATTTCAATAATATAAGTGTTCTATGTGTTTTTTCTAAATTGTTTAATCCTTTAACATTTAAAGTTGTGATTTTTAGTTTGTTAACTATAAGATAAATTAGTGTTGGTGTGTGTATACTAAAAGCACTACTTAAGGTCTGTTTGCCTTAGAGCCAGGGTATGGCCCCAATCTAGGTTTGTTTGTAGCTGTAATTGACTTTTTAGAATGGTTTTTAGTTTTCCTTTTGTAGATAACCAATGTAAACCTTCTGCATCGGTATTGTTGATTTCACTTTTTGTGCCATCATTTTTGGCATAAAAGGATGCTAATGGATCTTCCACTGACTAATCTTATTATTAGTTTTAATGTGGGACGATTCCATTTCTGGTTTGGCTTCTGCATTGGACGAGGCTTGGGTTTTTGCTACTGCAGCCACCTGTGTTTCTACTTCATTATCTTTAGGTAGGTCAGAAGTTTCTGCCAACATCTCTGTTTAAAATTCTGCTTCAACCTCTTTATCTAACACCATACCATTTGTGTCTGAATCTTTTGCTGTTGTATCAATAAACATGACATTCTCTGATTCTTCATTATATAGATTTTCAGTACTCAATGGCATATGAGAATGTTTCTTATTTCGTGCTTGTTTCTATTCTTATGTTTTTTGCAACTTCCTTTCTTTCTGTATTTTTCTTAATGCAACTGATGTTTGGTATTCTTGACATTCTTTTTTGATATAGCCTGTTTTGTTACAAAAGTAGCACACCTTTGGGGCTTCTTTCCAATTAGTTATAACTTTTTGGTTCCAAATATGTGTAAACCTGGGTATTCTTGTTGTCAGATCTGGATCATTTGTTGTTTTAAAAATCACCACCCATTGGTCTGTAAGCACTGACCCAATGGTTTAATGGAGGAAATATTGCCAATATCTTTAAAGGCTTCTTCAATTTGCTCTGAAATAAATCCTTTTTGCCCATAGGCATATTTCGAAGCCACACTGATAAAAAACTTCGTCTAATATTTACTGGAATATATCCCTGAAAAGTTTGTTTAAAGATTACAAGGCCTTCTGCTGCATAAAACTGCTACTTCTCTTCATCTGTAAAAATGACCTCCAAATGGGATCTTCAGTTTCTTGTAAAGATTGGTTTGGCTGCAATAAAGTCTTCACTGACTACAGTTGCTATTGCTTTTACAATATCAGAAGTGAGAATTTTTTCTAAGTTGTGTAGCTCAAAGATTAGTGTGTTCTCATTTTTAGTATGAATTCTCTTCCTTGGAGAGTAGGTTAAAAAAGTCACTTTGCCTTGTTCAAGCTTAGAAAACAGACTTGACTATTGTTTGGGCTCTGTCTGTTTATTGGCTTTATTTAATTGGTTGCTTACATGTTTATCCACATGTTTGTTGTTGTTAACTTTATTGGGCATATGTGTTGTTTGTTTTGCCAAGTCTTGAAACACGTCATTTGTTTAAGTAAACCAGCTGTTTTCTTCTTCTGCCACTTTGGTTTTCTCAACTGTTTCTTTTTTGTTTTTTGCTGTATTTTCCTGCATACTACTGCTGCTTGCAATGTTAACTGTGTTGTCTGAGTTCTGGCCTACTGTTTGGAGTAACTCCTTATTTTCTGCATTTTTATAGCTTGTTTCCCAAATTTCGGCTAAATTTTCTTTTTCAGTAGCTGAAGTTCTTGCCTTTTTATTTTTTCTGTTGAACCCTGGGTTATTTATGCTAGATGTTTCTATACTATCTTGCTTACATTTCTTGTATGTAAGGGCCTCAGCCCCTAAAGTACCTTGTTGTTTTTGTATAAAAAGCGGCAAGTTTTGTATAGTAATTTTGTTGTTATCAAATTTCTGAAGGAGAACCGGAAAGAGTTTTTTTTTCAACCAAGTCTTTAATCGCACTTTCTAATGATGCAATAGTGATCTTCTCCTTTTTTTTATTCGGTGAACTATCTGTTGATTCTAAGAGAATTTCTCTCCTTGCAACTTCCTCTATAGTTGGTTTTGTAGCTGGGATTTCCATGTTGGGAAAACCAATGTTACTACTTTAAAGGTCACTTGTGATTTTGGCTTGTTCTTTATATCTGTGATAGTGGTCTCAGAGAGCAAGAGATTCTTGAAATTGCTTGCAATTCTTCTTAATATAGCCTTCTTGGTTACAGAAAAAAACATATGCTGGGGGCTGCTCTCCATTCTGTAGTAACCTTATTGAGTGAAGCATAGTAGATTCTTTTCTAATTCTGGGTTATCTGTGGTTTCAAAATTGATGATCCACTGAACCATTAAGTATGGGGTTCCTTCAATCAGAAGAGGTTTGATAAAGTTGATTTTGCCTATATCCTCAAAGGCCTCCTTGATAAGGGTTAAAATCTTGACTGACAAAGATGTAACCCATATAAGTCTTGTTAAAACTTTTTACTCCCTTTGTAGCATAGTCTCTAAGCAAGCCAAAGCTTGCAAAAACAATTTCTAGTTGTGAGCATGATCCTCTTTTGAGATGTTGTTTAGTTTCTACAATATCATTTCCTACACTCTCATAGAGATAGGAGACAATTTCATTGAATGAGCTCAGAAGTTGAGATATGTTGATAATAAGTGCATTATCATTCTTAGACTTGATTTGATCCCTTGGGGAGAAAGTAGAATATGTGACCTGTCCTCTCATAAGTTTAGAGAAAAGGTTTGCCTATTGTCTTGAAGGGGAAGGTTGAGGTTTCTTGTCGTTGTGAGAAAAAGTAGAGTTAGTGGTCTCCACTTGTCTGTACAGGTTATTCTCTAAAAATTGTGCCTCTTGATTTGCATGTTGGTCATGTAAAGGGCCCGGGACCACTGGATCATTTTCAGTCACGTGTTTTGTTTTAATATTTTGTTTATTCTCTTTGTTTACTTGTAGAGACGTCCAAGAGTTTTCCTGTTGAACCAAGTCTGCCCAACTTTCTTTCTTGTCTGTTTGCAGAGCATTGATAGAGTTCTCCAAAAGTTCAGAAGTATTGTTGTTGTTTGTAATCTTGACTTCCAATAAGGGAAGGTTGTTTTTGTTGTTCTCTTCTTTACTAGTGACCTTAACCGAATCTGTCATTTTGAGTTTTTTGTAAGTTGTTCTTAAAAGTGTTAGTTAAATGAGTCTTCTCTTTTTTGATATGAGGGCCTTGGCCCTTGCTAGGCTTGATTCGAAAAAGTTTTCTTCCTTGCCTGGAGTAATTATTTGTGTTTTGTTAAAAACTCTATTCCTGCTAGATGTGTATAATGCAAAATTATAATAATAAGCATTATTATAATAGCTTTCTAGTAAAGAATATACTTCTTCTGGAAGATTCCTTTTTTTTATCAGCCCTAGTAATTCTCCTGGAAAGGGTTCCGAACCAGTACCTGAGTTTTCTTTGACATTTACAGATATTAAAAGAAACTCCCAGTAGTTATTTCCGTTATACATAGCAAGACTGCTATTCATTGTTTTTTGTTTAATAAATTGTAAACAAGTTTTTAAGTGACCTTTAGTATTTGGTGAAATCTCATCTAGTAATGAGTAATATTGCATGGTTTTAAGTAATTCGAGTTCATTGCTACTATAAATTGAACCTATAAATCAATATAAATTCTATATGAGCTATCAGCATTTTAATTAATAATCCATTTCTGAATGAGGCAATCATATATACCTATATATAGTAAATTGTGATACATTTTACTATAAGTTTTACTATAGCCAAAAATGCCATTTTACGTAAACAATAGTCTGTTTACATTAGTCGACAAATCGTTTTCTTGCAATATCTTGGCATCTAATAATCAGATTTTAATAATCTTACTATCATTAGAATCAGAAAATGATGCTCTACAAGTTTACTTAAAAATTGAAAATATATTTACTTAGTAGAAAAATGACTTTGCTTTGTTGTGAAGTGGCATTTGTGACTTAGCAATTTTATATCATAAATCATATAGATCTGTGCGTCACAATTTACTATGTGTGGTTGTCTCATTCAGAAACGGATTATCAATTAATATAATTATTGATAAACATAACAAAACTCTATATAAAACATGTTATCGAATATATCATAAACATAAATATATTTTAATATGACTATTATATAAAACATACCTAATAAACTATTCATCCTTTCAAAACTAAACTACCAGAAAGAATATATAGGCTCATAGTCCATAACATATTCACATATATATAAACATAAATGTAAATTAGGTGTTATTTTTTTAGAACCATAGGTTTTTTCAATAAGCTTCACCATATTAAATAAGTACTAATGTGCTTCCTCTAATTTGTCTTTACATAAAATCTGGCATACCTATAGGTAATTCAAAAAAAAAATTTAGCAATGAAAATGATTAGTATTATTATTAAAATTTCCTTACATATCGGTAGATTTTTGGAATTTACTATTAAAAATTCCAAAATTATTTAACTGCGAATAACTTTTAATCCACTGATTCGTTTTTGACAAAACAATTACCAAAATGTTCATCTCGGTGAGACGATTCTAATAGATACAAAATCGCCAAAATACAATCACAGGATCCCGATATATTTGATGATTTGTTTCACTTCGGGTGTTTTAGGATTGGTTTAACCAATCCTAAAACACCCGAAGTGACGCAAATCTCTATCGATCTCGGGGTTCTGTGATTGGATTTTGACGATTTTGTGTCTATTAGAATCGTCTCACAGAGACGAATATTTTGGTAATTGTTTTGTCGAAAACAGACCAGTAGATCAAAAGTTATTCACTATTAAATAATTTTGGAATTTTCAATAGTAAATTCCAAAAATCCGCCAATATGATTAAATTACGATAACACCTATAGACTTACCAAAATTGAGCATGCTTAAACAAAATATGTTAAAATTTTTCTGTTATTTTCTTGCAACAAATCCCACATTATGGAAGTTGTATATACCAGAACAAAGTTTTCTATTGATTAGCTATAAAACCTGAAAATTCATCTCCCATTGCAATTTTGTAAGGTATATAGCCAATGTCTAAAGGAACTCGAATTTTTTTTAGCCCATTTGTCTATTAATTCTAGATCCTTAGATATTAAAACGGCTTCTTCAATCTATAATTTTATAATCCATTTAGATATGCCTAAAAATAGGCAATGCATTGGATCTATTACAGTAAATTGGACAGAATTAAAATAGGGAAGCTAATACATTTCTGACCAACAGACTGAAGTTTCTGATGTATACTTCCTCCTAGCATCTTCAGTGTTACAATCTTTCTATGCAATGGCATCTTGGCGAATTTCATTGATATTTCTTTTAACAAACCAATTAGACATATTGTCAAATCCGCTTATACAATATTTAGTTTTTTATTTAGATTATATATCTTAAAATATAGATTTGCTTGATTTCTATTAACGGCAGCCCAAACTATCATGAAAATGTTTATTGCATATGAAGGTTGATGATCTTTTAACAATATAAAAACTCACATTTTTAATTAAATATTTCAAACACTCACCAAAATTTAGTTGATTCCTATGATCATAACTTGCACTCTTCAAGCACTTATGGCAAGCTATTCAAGCCAAAATGAACCCACACAACTTTCTTGTAGCTAGTATATTACTAGAACAGCATATTATTGCTGCTCTAATGAATTTGCTAGTAGGGCTTTCAAAGGTTTTGATAGTCTAATACCATCAAATAAACCTATCAACTGATCGACTAGAGGAGCCAAAAAATGGTTTAATTAATGTAATTTTGGTTCTTTTGGCCCAGGAATCAATACTAATGTTAGAATATTTAATGGCTTGAATCACTCATCACGTGGAAGGTTGCAAATTACACCATAAATGGCTCCAACACTAAAAAAAAAAAGAAAATTTAAAGAGACAATAAAAAAAAGAAATCAATTTATAATTTAAAGATATAATACAATAAAAAAAAAAATCAATTTATAAATTAAAGAAACAATACAAAAAATAAATCTTAATTTAAAAAGACAATAGACTAATCGAAACTTATACCATACCTATATTGTGAATTGTCGAAAGGCTGGAACCAATCTATATTTAACATTATCCCTAGATGACAATCTGATACATCATTCTAGAAAAATGGCAAATTTTCATTTGGATCCTGAAAGGTTTTCCAAATTCTTCTATCATAAATGTTGGTCACTAAATTAGAATCGACCAACCTCCCAATCCACTTTCTGCAAGAGTACTCAAACCTCTCTTTATTATATAACAACTTTAGTTGGTTTGCCAAAGATATAGTAGAGAAAATCAGCACTGGTTTATAAATAATCCTATAAAAAACATGTCATTTCAACTAATTTTATTGTAAATTTTTTGCAAAAAAATTTACAATAAAATTAGTTGAAATGATATTTTTTTTAACAAAAAATCAAAAAATCAATTCTTTATAGTAAATACTGTTGCAACAGTTCTTTATTAATCTGCAAGTTGTTAGTAGCTAAGGCACCAGTTAAACAAACAAAAACAAATAAAAACACAATCAACTAAACAAAAATTCAAATTCCAACTAGAAACTATTTAATAAAAAGAAAATAATAAAGAAAAGTGTCAAGAGGTTGCCTAAGGGTAAAGGTAATAAAATATAGGAATATTGGAGTAGTGTTTAAGGGTATTATTGCAAGAATATTTTTAAAGAAGAATATATTTATAAAAGTTGTATTGTAAAAGAGATTACAAGAGTATATTTTTATTTCAATTCTTTAATTCTTGTTATTGTTATTCTTGTTATTTTTAAGAAACAGGAAAGAGGTCATATTTATATCTTTTTAGAGCTCAAATTTTCAAAACCAAAGGTGGTGTTTAGAAGAACCAATAATATTTTGTTTACATGGTGCTCGTGGTGTTTTAGGTGGTGTTTGAGGTGTTTTATATATTACACGACTCTTTGTTTTGTTTCTAAATTGTTCATAATGTTTCTAAATTATTCTGCAACTTTCCATAACTTTCCTTTACTCTCTAAATCTTTCTATAATATTCCATGACTTTCTTTTTCTATATAAACAAATAAAAAAAAAAAAACAACAAATAAATGTATAACAAATAAACAAATAAACATATCAAAACAAAATAAACAAAACTAAACAAAACTAAATAAACTAAAAAAAATACTAAAACTATCTACAAACAATACTAAACTAATATCAAAATAAAAACAAATAACAAAAGAAAATACAAAAAAAGAAAAGTCAGGTAATATCAGTAACATCATCCTCTCCTTAAAATATGAGTTCCTGCGAATATTTTTAAAACTTGTCGGGAATAGTAGAATCACCAGCTTCTTTTAAGTAGGCATGATAAGCTTCTTGTTTAAACACCTCAAAATCAGAGTCATACATATGAGCTAAAACCCTGTAATTTATCTTTTCTGCTTGGTACAGATTCCAAATTCCTCGAGCATTGTATAGCTCAAAGGTTCTTTTAGCTACTCGAAATACTTCAGGTCCTTTTTGAGAGCCAACTTCTTGTATTAAAAAGTTTAAAGTATTCTCGCTCCAACTTCTTATACAAAGAAATTCACCAAATCAATAGCACCATTCTAAAGACTGATAAATAGCCTTATCTTCATTCTCAAAGCATTTAATCTTCTTGCAAATAGATCGCACCTTATCTTCCCAGGAATGGCCAAAAACTTCTACCATGTCTTTGTAGATCAGCACTTGTAATAGGTTTCTGAAGGTCCTTGATATATAGAGGCAATTTTTGTCAAATCTTCTGAGCATCAGTAAGCTTTATAAATAATTTCTTTGGAAGCAATTATCATAATTGAAGTTGGATCCAATTTTTGTAATTCATGTTGAAGTTGTTCAGCTATTAGTCTTGTTATTCCAGGGAGTTGGGCTATTTTTTCTTGGTTTCTTCTTCTAAATCTTCTTGGTTTGGGTCCTTTTTTTCTGCTTCCTTGGTTTTGAGTTTGTGTTTTCTTAATTAGTGATCCACCAGTCAACCAGAGAATGATCATAGTAAAAAGTGACTCAAATTACTTATAAAAATTAGGAGTCTTCAAATGTGGCATGCACGCATTTAAAACTTTTTTTTATACTAAGTTAATCACTTTTCTGACTTAAGAGACTTTTGTAGAGCTTGTCAAGATACATCTAATGGTGGTTAGAGCGTCAAAATCGGCTTGTGAGTGCTAAGATATCTTTAAAAAATATTTCTTTTACTATGTTTTTTTTTTTTTTTTTTTTTTTTTTTTTTTTAATATTTGGGGTGTAGCTCCTGCCCCAGACTTTTATTAATACTTAA